AGGTAGGATTTAGATTAGGAGTTTTGCATGTTTAGGAAATCCTAAATGTATCTAGAAGATAGGATAATTATTTAATTTAAATCGGGACTTAAGATAATTTATTTCCTAGTTTAAATTAGGTGTTATTCTAATCCTAAAAGATTGTTTAGGTTATTTTTAGATTCCGAATTTCCATGAAAATCCCAAAAAGAATGATGCATGTTTAGGATAGGTTTAGGATAACTTTCTTTGAATAAGTCGATAGGATAACCTTTTTATTTAAATTAGGAATTAGAGTAATTTATTTCCTATTTTAATTTAGATATTATCCTGATCTCGATGGTTCGTTTTGGGGTGATTTTAATTTCGAATTATCATAAAAAATACCCAAAAGAAGTCACTTTAGCATAGGTTAAATTACGTTTTCTAGAATTGATTGCATGTTAATTTAGGCATTTTTTTAATTCCGAATTTCATTGGAAAAATATCAAAAATAAATCATTTGCCCGTCATTAGAAATAGGTCATATTGTCGCATATCATATAGTTCGCATGCTAGGTCGCATTAATCGCATGTTTTTTTTTGCACGTCATTGCATATAGGTTAGTTTGCATTTTAAGAAAGCGCAAATCATAAAGAACATCTTGAGTGCCTTGCTTTGTTAATTAGAAATCATATTAGGATTGTCTGTGTGATTTCTAATAACAATGCAGATGCTTGCATTGCTCTAAGGTACGTCATTCTCCTAATCTTGTAATTTATTTATTGCTTTCTTGGGTGTTAAATTGGTAGTTTGCATACCCGCACGAACACCTCACATGTTAGTGATTAGGTAATAAAATGGATCCAGACTGCCTGCATAAACATTTTTGAAAAGAAAATGTACCGAAAGTGCGTTAGACTAGATCTAGCGTAACCAAGTCCCCGAGCTTAGAATATCTGGTTCGTAGGAGTAAAACATATCTCTCTATGTTTTATTTAGGTTTCTAATCGACCTACCACAAATAGATTAGTGGCGACTCCAAGCATGAAAATTTTTGCATGCTAAAAACTTAAACCCTAAGTTGCGAATTGGTAGGGCTTGGGAGGGCCCGAGTTAGGCTTAGTCTTAATAATCCATTAGCCTGAGAAATTTAGGTCGCGACAACATCCATAACTATTTGCTCCTCATCTTCATGCAACATCTGCAATCGATTTTTGAGCTGGAAAAAAGGACGATAACCATAACAGAGAGAGAGAGAGATATGATTCTTTGTGATTTAATAAGCTTTGAGAGACTCTAGAATTTTTTAATTTTATAAGATTTGCTGGTTCTCCTATGAGTTTTTGTGGCAGCTTTCTAGTCGTTAGTGATCTACAGTTTTATTTGATGGGATCCCTAAGATGTACTAATCATTATTAACTTCTTTAAGAACTAGTATCATGTTCGTTCAATGCATGGAACTTCATATATACCTTTGCTATAAGTCAAATTAGGTGATAAATTAAATGGTGGTTTCATCATTTTATCCCAACTCTCTCTCTCTCTCTCTCTCTCTCTCTCTCTCTCTCTCTCTCTCTCTCTCTCTCTCTATATATGAAATTAGCAATATTTTTGTGGGACTTACCATATGATTAATTTACAAAATTAGTTTTGGATTATCAACTCTTACTTGAATAATTTAACAATGTTTATTTGGTCTTTTCTTTAATTCATTAGAGTTATCATTTTTTATTTGTCTTAGTTATCAAGCCTATTCTGCGATTATATATTATCAACAAGCTTGTCTCGCTAAACATTATTTAAGTTAGTTATGAACATTCATTTATTTTTTAATTACCAACTTTTCTTATCTTTGACCAAAAAAAACTTTAAATTAATCAACTACTAGCAAATATGAACATGTTGGCGTGTATGCAAGAAATTGAAAGTCGAATGATTGAGCAAAATCACTACATTAGGTATTGGATACCTACTAGCAAATATATTAGCATTATCTAATCTTCGTAGTGAATCTTTTTTCTTAGGTATTACATACCCGATCCATCTTAACACCTCATTAAGGTGTTTATAACATAGGGTAAAAGCCACAAAAAATCCTAAACTATGCCTACTGTGATGCATCTATCCAAAAAAAAAATTAGGGTAAATGTGTTACAGTGAGCATATTTTGGAGTTTGTTGTGACTTTTTCCCCATAATATAATACTACTCTACGCACTCCTCTTTCTATTTCCGAATTCTTATTGATATAAAGTGTTGAATAACTCCATGGTATATGTTTCTTTCTTTCTTAAAATGCACATGGGACATAAACACATAATTTCTCTTTTCTACAATCTTTCGGAAATCCTTTATTTTATTCTTGGGTTAATGCCATGAAAAACCCTAAACTGGTACACCTGTAATAATTTTACCCAAAACTAGTTTTTTGACCATGAAAAACCTAAAACTGATACACCTGTGACAATTTTACCTCAAACTAATTTTTTGACCATCAAAAACTCTAAACTAGTACACTTGTGACAAATTTACCCTCCGTTAAATTGGATTAATACAATGAAAAATCACAAATTGGTAAACCCGTGATAAACAGAGTGGTAAAATTTCAAACTAGTACACCCGTCAATTGCCATGTGTCATCAAACTTAGCAATTTGACTGTAAAATTGAATGGAAACTAAAGGAGGGTAAATTTATCACAGGTATACCAGTTTGGATTTTTCGTGATCAAAAAATTAATTTTAGGTAAAATTTTTACAGATATATCAATTTAGGATTTTTCACTGTATTAACATTTTATTCTTCAATGAGCTCTCTCTGACAGCACTCTTGATCGAATGGTCTAGTCAAACTGACAAACGAAACGGCGACACACATGTACACTTCGTGGTCAGTGATCAATCATTTGTGGATCCATCACGTGTGGGCATAAACAATATAGAAGGTTAGATCGTGCAAACCTCAACGACACCAATGCCAGCGCCCCCTATTCCAAGCACACCATCAGATCAGGCTGATCTTATTGCCTAGACAAATAATGACGCACCAGAAACCTTTTTCAAGCTTTTGGCCATCAAGTGTAACCTCAAGCACTTGTCTTTTGCATTATGGATGGACAAGACTCCATGGGATGATGTGAATAGGAAACCGAGTTTCCATGACTATGACCCTCACCAGATAGTCAGCCTTGCGAAACGAAGTTTTTCATTCACATAATCTAAAAGGTGGAAACTAGACGTGCCATACTAAGCAAACATCTTTTACCCACACCGAAATGGTTGGCCAAATTGATTAGAGCACAAGACAGAAACCGCTTCGCTTCTTTAGCGGGTAGTGCGAGTTTGAAGCTCCTTTCTTAGTGAATTGGATCCTGCTTGCGGGGGTAGTCCTTGTGAATCATACGTCGTCTATTCCACTGGCATTTCAATGTTGTTGTTGCGGTGAATAAGACATTCCGTAGCAAGTGTGGCAGTCGTCTCTAAACACCCATGAAGGATTTGCTAGCTAGTTTTAGAAGCCCAAATTCTCCTATCATCAAGAAAGGTAAAATGATTTCGGAAGAAGAGATTAACATGGAAGATGAGAGTAGACTCGTTAAAATGAGTCATAAACCCATTTTTTAACCCATATGGGGTTAAATAGGTCATAAATGTGTTAGTTATATTCATCAAATGGGTCATAAATGGGTTTAAACACAATATGGATTGTAAATGGGTTTACAACTTATGTAGATCCAACTCACCTCTATGACTTTCTTTTCATTCTCTCTCGCCCACACTCAATATCGCGCTCATTCATACCGCACTCTCACCTCAGTCAGGGTATTCGTTTCCTTAGACAGGGTTTAAATATAAAAGTATTTTATCAATATGGGTTGGGTCGGGCGGATATGGATAGGGTATAAGTCGCTAGATTTACGTTACATAGAAATGAGTCAAAACGGGTTAAATTGATCTATTTGAGTCGGGCCATTTTCGATCTGACCCACTCATTTGACGAGTCTAGACGTGAGGCACATAGTGCATTTCCAATTATATGAAATACCTACGGTTGGCCAGCCCATTTAGGTTTCAACTCGGATTGTACCTAATTCATGACATTAATTGTATTTTAGTAAAGTCGAAATTTGTTAACCTAAAATGAAGTTCCTAATCGCGTAATGGTGCAGGAGGCTCAGCAGAACTGTCTGGCAGTAGGTCCTATCAATTGTGCTTCAGAAGTTGTACATCTCGATTGTCCCATTCTCTTTTTTTTTTTCTTTGGAATTAATAGCAAATCACCACCAAATTCAAACCCGCCCTTTTTGTTTTAGTAACTAATTCTCCAACCAACCATTCCACGCATGCCACCAATTTCTTTCCTTCCGTCCTTTTCGCAACCCTCTTGCAATTGCATGTCTCTATTATGTTTTAGTCATGTCATGGGAGTGAAAGCTAATCGAAAACAGAAGTCAGAGATTAATTTAAAGAAAACTTGTACAAGTCTCTCTGTCTTCTCACTTTTGATGAAGGTCTATACCTATGTAAATAAAAGGTCTATATCAAGGAAAACAGACCTTGGAGCACGTTGACGTCCTATATGGGCAAGCATCATTGAATTAGGCCGTCGATGCTGGTGAATTTCCTTCCTGTTTTAATAAGAAACGATAAGTGATCTAACATGACAGATAGAAGCAATCAAAATTTAAATTCGTCGAAAGAATTATTACGCGATGAGATTTATACAACAAGTCCTACTGTCAGCAATCACCAAGGTTAGAAGTTTCTAATGCCTGCTTGTCGAAGCAGACTCCGCATCGAGATAATGAGAACAATTTCACACCACCAAAACGCGAGAGTCGAATAGGTCAAAATCAGAATTTAGCGATGAGCCCTCGATTCTTGAACTGACATTCTCCATGTTCCCATCTACCTCATTTTTTAAACTTTTCCAGATAAGAAAAGAGTATCTCCATTTCATATCGGTCCAACCTGCCTCCTCCATATGCGCAGTTAAAGCCCCCTCCTTTACAGATGTTCTTCATTATATACCATTTACTCTCACCTGTCAGAGTCACAAAAGAATATTTCCGAAAGACGTGTAGCTTGGGTCACATGGACCGTCCAATATATTGCTGTTTCGATCTGTGAAAGTCAACGGGAGAAGTTTCGAACTTCTAATGAGTACTACTCTTGACACTTGATCCTGCCCAGAGGGACTCGTCCATCACCGATCATTTCACTGCCTTCTAATCATCTGTATTTCCCTTTGCTCTCATTATCACAACCTTCCCTCTCTAGAGGCAAAAAAAGCCGCTGTTCCTTTCATGGCGATCGTCGACGGCAACGGCGACGCCGACCAGCCTCTGCTGCAAGAATCAGTGGCGGATGGCGACTGCGACGGTGGGGATCATGAGGACGAAGAGAAGACGAGCTTGAGCATGAGAGCATGGGCTGAGACCAGGAAGCTGTGGCACATCATCGGCCCTGCCATCTTCGGCCGCGTGGCCCAATACACCATGTTGGTCGTCACGCAGGCATTCGCAGGGCACCTCGGGGAGGTTGATCTTGCCGGCATGTCCATAGCCATCAACGTCATCGTCGGCTTCAATTACGGCCTCTTGGTAAGTACCGGAAAGAAAAATCTGCGCTTGCTAATTCTCTGATTCAATATTCGTTACATAGTTCCCCTGATATAGAAGTCATTCGACATGACAATGATAACCAAATAAAACTTGGACAATTTAAAGTTTTGACAGACTTAATTATATTGACGCAAAAAAAAAAAAAATACCACTACGTTGCATCAAAAGTGTGGGATTGAAATAATATCACAGATATGGGAGTGTTGGCCGGCCACCATGGCGAAGCCGAATTCGCCGCCCACGTCTATAGTCAACACCATGAAGGTTTCAACTTGCTTATCTGGGTGACTGCGATTCTTCTTCACCGGTTACTATTAGGTGTGATCGGTTTCCGGTATGATCCGATTCCAAGGTGGAATCGAGGACCGGACTGGAAACCGCACCAGACGAGTGGTCGGATCCGATCCAATAGAATCAGTCACTTAGGGTTTAATTCACATTTTACTTATTTTTGTCAATGAATATTTATCAATAAAGTTCACTTAGGGTTTAGTTCACATTTTACTAATTTTTACGAGGAAAAAAAAAGTATTTGTAGTCGGTCCGATCTGATTGGTCTGGTTTCCCCTTGGAATCGGGAACCGGACCGCTCGGACACCGGTTCCACTTTTAGGAACTGAGAACCGAACCGACACTTCCAGAAACCGAACCGAACCAGCTAGTTCGGTCTAGTCCAGGCAGTTTTCGGTTTGGGCGGTCTGTTTTGTGCATCCCTAATTACTATGCATTGCAGAATCCTAGAGTTCCAGAATCATTTAAAGTCCCTGCAGTAGATTAAGTTAAATTATAGTGTATTGAATCGATGTGCCTTGATCGGAGCGCTAATAACTTTGTGTCGGTCGGTAGAGTAGGAATTCGCGATTAATAAAGGTCGATGTGCGCAAATATTGAGGCAGTGATGCACGTCATTTGGTCTTTTGTTTGTCTTTCTTATCTGCCCTCTAGCGATGACTTCACGCTCATACAAGAAATGAATATAGCGAAACGAGTTTGGATGATATTTTCTAGCTTCAAAAATCAATTTTCACTCTCACTGAAAGAAATTTAAACATGAAAGGGATCGAGCAGTATCGTTTGCTTGTGTGTGTATGGCATTTTAAAGAGAAATTACTTTTATACACCACTTTACAGATTCATTGGGTGCTCGAAGTGATTTTAGCTAGCTAGACACTCAATTTGACATGAAAAAACAGAGAGAAAACAAGAGTTTCATGTCAACTTTTGTGTATGGATTGTGGTTATTAGTTAGGTATGGCGAGCGCGCTCGAGACATTATGTGGCCAAGCCTTTGGCGCGAAGAGATACCACATGCTTGGCATCTACCTGCAAAGGTCGTGGATTGTGCTCTTCCTGTGTTGCTTCTTGCTGCTTCCATTCTACTTGTTTGCGTCGCCACTCCTGAAGCTCCTAGGGCAGGCGGACGACGTGGCGGAGATGTGTGGCACGGTAGCTCTGTGGCTCATCCCGTTGCACTTCAGCTTCGCCTTTCAATTCCCCTTGTGGAGGTTCTTGCAGAGCCAGCTTAAGACCCAGGTCTTGGCATGGATCTCGCTGGCCAGCCTAGTGATCAACTTGCTCACGAGCTGGCTCTCCATCTACGTGTTCGACTTTGGCGTGGCGGGGCTGTCCATCGGCTTGGATCTCTCTTGGTGGTTCCTGGTGCTCGCAATGTTCGTGTACACCGCGTGCGGTAGATGCCCACTGACATGGACTGGCTTCTCCATGGAGGCTTTCTCGGGGTTATGGGAGTTTGTCAAACTGTCCGCTGCTTCTGGAGTTATGCTTTGGTAAAACTCCGTATTCTTAGTTTCCATCTCCAAGTTACACGATGCATAGGTATCTAAATTTAGCTTGCTTCTATTTTTATCTCATATCTGCACAAAAAAGGGGCTTTTCAAAGTCAGAGTTCTTCAGTTACTTGTTTAACATAATCCATTCGATCTAACTATGCATATCGTAATCGCTTAATTTTCGGTGGACATGACATGATCGTATTGTTGGGTTTATCCCACATCGATTATAGAAAGAGCTGGTGGTCAGTTTGTAAGTATGAGGAAAAGTCTCACCCTCTGAGTTAGCTTTTGAGGCGAGAGAGGCCCAATACTAGGGGTGAGCAAGATGGACCGTCTAAACTAGGACCGGACCGACTGGTTTGGTCCGGTTCTCGGGAATATCGGTCCGGTTCCCGATTCTTAAAAGTGGAACCGATTTTCGGGTGGTCTGATTCCCTGTTCTAGGGTGGGAACCGGACTGACCGGATCGAACTGATAAATATATATTTTCCTAATTTTTTCATTTATATAATATTTAATATATATATGAAAAATATTTAAAATTGGTTCCATTGGAACCGATTGTTCAATTTTTTCATATATTATATATATTTTTCCAATTTTTTCCATGGCCTTAGCCGATCAAATCAGAACTACGAAAGAAAGAACGAAATAATCGGTTCTGGTTCACAAATAATATTAATATTGATCCCATTGGAACCGGACCAGACCGGTCCGGTTCGATCCGGTTTGATCCGGTCCACGGTCCCAAGACTAGCCGGTTCGGTCCCCGGTCCTAGAAACTGGGAACTGGTCCTCCCGGTCCGATTCCCGGTTCTTGGATTGGACCGGACCGGATCGGGAACCGCTCACCCCTACCCAATACTACCCAACATTGGTATCAGAGCCTAAATTACCAATAAGTCTCGACCCAACAGTCCTTGGAAGATACGAATTATTGCCGTTCCAACCTAGGGCCCGATATATGCTTGGAAGATTTTTGGGGTTTATCCCACATTTGTTGTGGATGGGGCTAGCCAACACTTATTAGGAACCTGGATTGATCATAAGATAAAGTTTAATCACTGTGGTTTTACATGTTCTTCTAACTAAATTTAACTCAGGAAACTATGTCGTAACTGCACTGAGAATATTCACATGCAGTTTGGAGAATTGGTACTTTTCAAACAATTTGGAGAATTGGTGACCATATTTTCTTGGTATTTCTCGAACAGTTTGGAGAATTGGTACTATAGAATATTGATACTAATGACTGGATATCTCCAAGACGCAACGGTTGCGGTGGATGCCCTGTCAATCTGGTAAGAGTTTATCTCTATTTCAGTAATTTATCATCAGAAAAATTATTCACCAAGTGTCTCCTATTATGCAACTGGTGAGTTCATAATTGTACGTATGTGGCAGCATGAGCATCAACGGTTGGGAGATGATGATCCCTCTTTCCTTCTTTGCCGCAACCGGGTACTTTCTCTCTCATAACCAAGAACAAAACCAAGTAAAGTATATATTTGAACTTAGATTCATCATCCGGAATCGTATCAATCAATCCCATTATAAATTTATAAGTAGTTGACTGAAGGGGAGTATCCTCTACAAGTGTGTTTTTTATTTATATGAAACTGGTTCATCAACAACACTAGGTTATGTACGATCAAGACGAGACTGTTTTACTATAAATAAATCTGTACAAATGATTTTGTATATGTTGAGTGTAATCATTTAGATTGACAACGATGTAGACTATTTATTAAATAAGAGTAAGTTAAGCAAAGTCCCAGGTACAAGTCCAAACTGCAAAAACAAATGTATAGACAAACCAAGCACAAAGTGTGTCTATATAACGCAGAAAACTGACAGAAAGGTAAACTTCATCTTAGAATTTTGCATCAGCTTTTGACACTATTGTCATATCTTCAAAAGCATCGACACTTGTGAATGGTTTAAATATAATCAACTAAGCATTAGTTCGTAATAAGATTCAATTCTTGATCTTATTGAGTACTTGACTAGTGGAAAAAAAGTTCCTTTTCCAAGAGCGTCAAAACTCTCTTTCGCTTTCTGCAGAATAAGCTTTCAAAATCAAAAGATCTTTTCATTTATTTTTTTTTGGTAAGGAAAAAAATAGATCTTTTCATTTATCGTTCCTTCAATCTTCAATCTCTAGTTCACTTAATATTCAGAGTGAGGGTGGCGAATGAGCTTGGAACTGGGAACGGCAGGGCCGCGAAATTTGCTACTGTGGTGTCCGTTGTGCAATCAACAATGATTGGTTGCTTCTTCTGTGCTCTCATCATGGCTTTGCATGACAAATTTGCGTACATTTTCACTTCTTCCGCTGATGTTCTTGAAGAAGTGGACAAGCTCTCTTATCTTCTAGGCATCACCATACTATTCAACAGTGTTCAGCCTGTTCTATCAGGTAAATCTTCGAAACCATCTATTAATATGCAGGTTTTCGGGCTGTAAGTCTTCTTTTCCATATATCCATCTGTGGAAGGTCACATGATGTAATGGTGAAAGAAATTTTCGCGGTATTGATGTCCAATTGATCAAAAGTGTCCATACAAAGGAAAATGAGATGGTTTGCTCGGTACAAGTGTTGTATTGACGTACAGTCAAGTTCGACCAAGTGAGATATTTGATATGCTTAACATTAACTCAATTGATCATTTGGTGATTTGTTATTAGCATCCAATATAAGCTTAAACTAGAACCCTAAAACAAAGCATGATATATCGGGGAACAAATTGTTTCATTCCATCTAGAATTACTCATAGTAAGCATAATACAACTTCAACTTTAATTTAATTTCTCTCACTACAACTCAAAATTGATACATGAGAATTAGGGTCAGATTCCTTTCTCAGAATACACTCGACTTTCATCAATGCTGCAGGAGTTGCTGTTGGATCGGGATGGCAAGCGTATGTTGCGTACATAAATTTGGGATGCTACTATGTCGTTGGTTTACCTCTTGGATTTCTCATGGGTTGGGTTCTCAACTTAGGTGTTATGGTAAATTTTTCAATCCTTCATTGAGCTTATCACTTCATTTTTTTTCATATGCTATGTTACTTAAGTTCAATAACCAGATGGTTTAATTAATATTAAGGACAACTTTGAATAAATGCAGGGTATTTGGGGTGGAATGATTTTTGGAGGCACTGCTGTTCAAACTGTGATATTGGCCATAATAACAATTCGATGTGATTGGGAGAAAGAGGTAAACTTCAAGTATATTTCATTTTACTTTTGATCAAACAAATATGAGCATTCAGCATTCCATCTTTGGTTCTCTTCTTTCCATGGTAATTTGCGTTTTTACCAAATGAAATCTCCCATATATTTCTGTGATGACGACTTAACGCAGGCGGAGAAAGCTAGAGTGCGGGTTGCGAAATGGTCAACTCCAACCATTGAAGATGATGAATCGGCTGCTAGCTAAAACTCGTTGTTTGAAGCTGTCGGTGTTACGTAGATATAGGTGAGTACGGAAGTAGTTTCTCTAGTTATTCATAATCAGCATAATTAATTTATTAATCAGTAGCCAACTCAATATGATTGATCATGGTGCAATGTTATTTGTTATTAGTTTATGCTGTTCTCCACATAGTTCTTTAATGTGATTGGCTGATCTGTTTGACTAACTTTGCTATAAATATTCTCCCCTTGCGTAGGTTCAGTGTAATGGCAAGGATTAGGATGTATTGGACCAGTAGCAATTACAGCTATTTGCTCCTTTTCATGCAACCTTCTAACGACCCTTATGCATCTGCAATCGATCTTCGAGTTGGGAAAAGGACCATCAACAACAGAGAGAGAAGATATTTGTTGATTCAATAACCGTTTGAGAAACTCTAAAATTTTGAATCTTCGAAGATTGGAGCTTTGCTAGCATAGTGGTCTTTGAGTCATTATGAGAGTAGCATCATTTTGTGAGCCACAAATTTTTGAAAGAGTAGGCCCCACAACAATTTATATTGATTTGCTATTTATTTTTTTGGAGGTTCAACATATGCTGTTAATCTCACGGTAGATTAAGGATGGTAATTTAATCATTTCTTTTCCTTGAATGTATCATGTTCATTCCATGCATGGGCTTTCATATATACCTTTGCTATAAGTCAAATTAGGTGATAAACGGAATGATTGTTTCATCATTGTATGTCAATTCTCTTTTCTTCTTAGGAAAAAAATGAAACTAGAAGTGGCATAACTTTTATACAGTACTCATTTGAATAGCAAAACTTTTCTAATACTTGAGTGCTACTTTGGAAAAAAATCGATCACTCCAATGCCACCGATTATTTTCTTTGCCGGAAAATTTGACGTAATGCCAGAGAAATGTAATTAGCAAAAAATAACGTGGTTGGCTTTTATTCTTGCCCACAATTGACATATTGGCCCCAAATTAGGGCCAAAAAGCAAACCGTAACTCCCACTCTGCCATCATTGTCAACTCTAGTCCTCGAGGCTTAGGTTCAAATTGCATAATATCCATGTCATTTAGTGAACATATACTTAGGTTAAATTGCATATCATATTAAATTAGTTCATGATTCTCTAGCCCGTCATTAGGATTAGTTTACATGTGGATTGCATTTAAATAATTCATAGCACATGTTATTAGTTTAAATTAAAATTTATGTAGACATAACTTAGATTAATAACTGCATTTCATAAATTGCATATAGTTTAATAAAAAGAAGAAAACCCATAAAAAGTTAATTGACATTGCATTTGGAAATCATGTTTAGGTCATATATACGTTGTTTAGTTTTTTAATTAACATCTTGCACAACACTTGGAGCATAATCATAATGAAGTCATATTTTGCTTTATGCATTGAGTTTTTTGCTCTATTCCTAATAATTTATTTATGCTTTTGATTTATTGAGTGTTAAATTTTTGTCTGCGCACTCGCATGATCACACATTGCATATTAGTGGATTAGGATTAAAATCAACCGAGATTGCTTGCAAAATATTTTTGAAATAAAGAGAAAAAAGTACCGAAAGGACGTTAGATTAATTGAGCGTAATCAAGTCCCCGGATCTATGAAATCTCTCATTCGCAAAAGTAAAATATTCTTCTATATTTTACTTGGGTTTCTAATTGACCCATAATAGATTAGTGGCGATTCCTAAATGAGTGAAATGCATGTTAAAATGATTAAATTAAAACCCAAAGTTGCAATTGGTATGTGGTTAGGAGAGTGCACCCTAAGTATTTACTTAGTAATCCATTAGCTTTTCCTTAGTGGTTCACCTCGTGGAAGGTCGTGATAATTTGCAAATCTCTTTGGTGTAGAGCTACAGGAAAATGCTAACTTTAGTACTACATAGGTTAATCTTTTCAATTCAATACAAGAATTGCTTGACACGTGGCGCATTTGTTGAGAAAACCTTATATATTTGACAAAACTATCCATGGTTTTATATCGAACTTGATAAATGCGATAAGTGTTTATGTTTCAGGTAATATTCATGCTGAAAGGATTCTATGATTGATAAATGCGATGACCGTTTATGTTTCAGGTAGTATTCAAGCTGAAAGGATTCTATGATTGAAAGACCTACATGAACAAGTCTAGTGGAATGGAAATTTATATTGACTTGAAAATGTAAGGTTTTATGTCTACAAAATCTTAATTGCTATCGTTGCTAAACTATCTTGGTAAGAACAATTTATCATATCCATGAGGCAAAAAGAAAGTGAACTGCATGAATATCAACAAGTGAACTACTTGAATATCAGCACGATCACTCTATGAATAGCAACTAAATTTCTGAATGAATATTATCAAGGGTTTCATCTGACTATTAGCAATGCAAACGGTGGATATTAGCATGGAAGACGCTGGATATCAGTAGGGCAAATGCTGAATATTATCATAATATATACTCGAATATTAGCAGAGGAATGCGATGGCTGAATATTAGAATAATACTCGATGACAATCTTGTCACGAACTTCAAGACTATTATTTTGAGATATTTAATTTCATAGCTTAAGAATATCTTTGCGAAAATATTTAATCACGCAAGATATCTTAATAGATTGGTAATCATCTCAGGGGCAACATTCTTTCTATAGTTGAAGAACTCCACTTATGGAAACAAATATTTGTTTGTATGGCTGACCAAATCGACAGAAGACAAAGCCGTAGCAATAGATTGAGATATCAGTGTCTGCTCATTACTAAAAACGAATTTAGTGATCGGCCGTCGATCTTGATTTGAAGAAGTCACAAATATGCTTTTTAAGCTTATAACTCTTAACTTTGTTATGATGATTCATCTTGATATGTAGAGCTTGTTTTGTTTTGAAATTGTTTGGGATTTGTCCTGGTTTGCAGTTAGACTGCCATATTTCTTTCTTGTATTTCTGTGGAAATGAATGAGATATTACTTTGATAAAAAAAGTTATTTATTATTAATTATCCTTTCTTTTTATAATTCTCAAATGTGAGTGGCTAAATCCGTTTAACTGACTTTACTATATATATATATATATATATATATATATATATATATATATATATATATATATATATATATATATATATATATATCTTCCTCCTTTATGTAGGTTCAGTGTAATAGCAATGATGAGGATGTATTGAACTAATAACATCCATAACTATTTGTGTGTGTGTGTGTGTGTGTGTGTGTGTGTGTGTGTGTGTGTGTGAGAGAGAGAGAGAGAGAGAGAGAGAGAGAGAGAGAGAGAGAGAGAGAGAGATATGGTTGTTTGTGATTTAATGAGCGTAAACTAATTTTAAACTCAAAACTTGTACACTTGTAATAAATTTACCTTCCGTTAATTTTCGTTAAATTTTACTGTCAAATTGTTGAGTATGACACGTGACAGTTGACGGGTGTACTAGTTTAGGGTTTTACCTCTCTGTTTGTCACATATTTACTAATTTGTGGTGTTTTGTAATATTAATCCAATTTAACGGAAAGTAAATTTATTACAAGTATACCAATTTGAGATTTTTGGTGGTTAAAAAATTAGTTTAGGGTAAATATATCACATATGTACTACTTTGTGATTTTTCGATGTATTAACCCCCTAAAATATTAAATTTTAAAGATTTGCTGGTTCTCCTACGAGTTTCTGTGGCAGCTTTCTAGTCATTAGTGATCTACAGTCTTATTTGATGTGATCCATAGGATGTATTAAACATTATTAACTTCTTTAAGAACTAGAATCATGTTCGTTCAATGCGTGGTTCTTCATAGGGGTGAGCATGGTTCCAAGTTCTACCCTGGAACCTAACCAGTGGGAACTTGTAGGTTTCAGGTTCCAAGATATACAGGGTAGGTTCCAGGTTCCAAAAATTGGAGAACCTATTTCGACGGGTAAGTTCTAGGTTCTAGGTAGGTGGAACCTAGAACCTGAAACCTAAACAAGTGTTTTATGTTTGTTTTTTTGTCTATGTCTTCGCGTGATTGTGTGATGTTTCATGGCATTAGATGATGAGTGTATAATCTGGAACCATTGGTCTGAGCTTTCATTTTATGACTTGTTAATGTTTCATATTTTTCGTGTGTCTAAATATAAGTTGTGGTCTGTGGATCATAACAGTAAGTGGTGGTAATTAAAGATGATATTTCATTGCAATTGTTCAATTAATAATACAAATGTAACCTGGGTAGATCTTGGAACCGACCTAGAACCCTGTGGAACCTGTACGGAACATGGAATCTCTCACCCCTAGTATCGATGCAAACAATGACTTCTCATTTTAATTGTATTTATTTGAACCGTAATGCCAGGAAAACTAGTTTTTTGCATTCTCTTTTGTGAATGACAAACTTGTTCAGTATTGTTGCGTCCATTTTTGTTTTGTGTAACTTAAAATGAAATAATAAAAAAAAAAGAATCTGTTAGACCGTAGAACCGACCTAGGAACAGGTTTTGGGGTAGCTTCCAGGTTCTAGGTTCTAGGTTCCGACGGATAGGTTCTAGGTTCCAAAAAATGAGGAACCTGTACCCGAGGGTAGGTTCCAGGTGGAATCTGTAAGGAATCTAGAACCGCTTATTCCTAGTTCTTCATATATACCTTTGCTATAAGTCAAATTAGGTGATAAATTTAATGGTAGTTTCATCATTATATCCCAATTCTCTTTTTATTTTATCTCTCTCTCTCTCTCTCTCTCTCTCTCTCTCTCTCTCTAGCTCTATATATATATATATATATATATATATATATATATATATATATATATATATATATGAAATTACCAATCTTTTTTGTGGGACTTACAAACTTTATTCTAATTAATTACAAAATTATGTTTGGATTATCAACTCTTAGTTGAGTAATTTGACAACCGTTTATTTGGTCTTTTTTTTTTAATTCACTAGAGTTATCATTTTTATTTGTCTTACTTATCAATCCTATTCCGCGATTAGATCATCAACTAAGTTTGTGTCGCTAACCATTATTTGAGTCAGTTACCAACATTCATTTATTTGAAAGTCAAATAAAAAAACTTTAAATTAATCAACTACTAGCAAAAATGAACATGTTGGCGTGTATGCAAGAAATTGAAAGTCAAATGATTGAGCAAAATCACTTCATTAGGTATTAGATACCTGATCCATCTTAACACCTCATTAAGAGGTTTATAATATAGGACAAAAGCCAAGAAAAACCCAAAAATATGTCTACTATGACGCATTTATCCTAAACTTTTGTTCTGTGGCACCAAAAATCTTAAATTTGTACATGTGTGACACATTTACCCTCTATCAAAGTTTTCTCAATGAGAATCATTAAAAATCTTCCTACATGGACACCAGAAAACAAATAGTTGGCACGGTGCCCGTGGCTTAAGTGAAATAAAAAATAACGTTTTGACTAAAAAATCATCTAACGGAACCTTGACGGAGATTAAATATATCATATTGGTACAAGTTTGGAATTTCTTATGTCTCAAGAAAAATTTTAAGGTAAATGTGTCACAGTGAGTATAGTTTGGGATTTTTTATGTCACAAAAAAATTCAAGGTAAATGTATCACAGTAGGCATAGTTTGGAGTTTGATGTAGCTTTTTCCCTA